TGCCTCTTTCAGGATTGAAAAGTAAGATGCTGGGTGAGTTATTACTTACTTTAAAAAGTTCTTATTGGTTTTAGATAGATGAAAATTTTCTATTAGCCTGAAAAACACTGTTACATGGATTATATTAGCATCAATTTGATAATCACAAATCACGATAAGCAAAAATTCTGAAAATATAAGCAGTAAAAGAAATGTATTCCCAAAGGATGTTTAGAGCTCTTATGAGTCAACACTTCCTTAGTCTTTGCATTTGATACTACAGGGATTTTGTGATTAAAATTTGAAGATGTAATTTATTTCTTGCTTCTTGAAAAAAATGAGCTCTAGTTTTTCATTATAGCTGAAATGGACACTCAGGGGGATAACTTTGTAAATAAAACTCAGCGTTTGGAAGCCTAATTATTCTTCAACTGAGGTGGTTACAGATGAGATTTTTTAAAAGGTAAAGTGATACACACACACACAGAGAATGGCTTTTCTGAAAATTGGCAAAATATGTCCCCTAATATATACAGTGGACTCTATGCATTGTCAACCATTTATTTAGCCACATATTTGAGTGTAGTCTAAATGCCTTTCTGCAATGAATTTCTACTCTGAATGCATTAAAAACTTGGAAAGAGCTTTTGGAAAGCTTACAAAGTTATAGATTATGTGCTAAAAATTGTTATACAAGTTGCTTTCATTTTAATTAGAGATCCTTTTCCTCTCCCAAAAGCCTTTGAAATTGCTATCTCTTTCTTGTTTTAAATTGCTGAAGTTAGGAACTTGGAAACTTAAAATCATTCAAGCAAGAAGGCAATGGTGAACATTATCTCCCAGGCTGACACTGTGGAGCTCTGCTATGAGAATGTGAGTGGATCCTGCGTTAAAACCTCGTACTCACCGGGCCCTCGAGCAATCCTGTACGCAGTCCTTGGTTTTGGGGCCGTGCTGGCGGTGTTTGGAAACTTACTTGTCATTACTGCGATTCTTCACTTCAAACAGCTGCACACCCCTACAAACTTTCTCATCGCATCCCTGGCCTGCGCTGACTTTCTGGTGGGAGTCACTGTGATGCCATTTAGCACCATGAGGTCCATGGAGAGCTGCTGGTACTTTGGGGACAGTTACTGTAAATTTCATACATGCTTTGACACATCCTTCTGTTTTGCTTCTCTATTTCATCTATGCTGCATCTCTGTCGACAGATACATTGCTGTAACTGCCCCTGTGTCCTATCCAACCAAGTTCACTGTATCAGTTTCAGGAATATGCATTGTTCTTTCTTGGTTCTTTTTGGTCATGTATAGCTTTTCTATCTTTTAACTGGGGCCAATGAAGAAGGGATTGAGGAATTAGTAGTTGCTCTGACCTGTGTGGGAGGTTGTCGCGCTCCCTTGAATCAAAACTGGGTTCTGCTTTGTTTTCTTCTGTTCTTTCTGCCCACTGTTGCCATAGTATTTATATATGATAAGATATTTTTGGTGGCTAAGCATCAGGCTAGGAAGATAGAAAGTACAGCTGGCCAAGTGCAGTCCTCCTCAGAAAGTTACAGGGAAAGAGTGGCAAAGAGAGAGCGGAAGGCTGCCAAACCCTTGGGGACTGCTGTGGCAGCGTTTCTTCTTTCTTGGCTACCATACATTATTGATGCAGTAATTGATGCTTACATGAATTTTATAACTCCTCCTTATGCGTATGAGATACTAGTGTGGTGTGTTTATTATAATTCAGCCATAAACCCCTTGATATATGCCTTTTTTACTCCTGGTTTTGAAAGACAATAAAGCTTATTGTAAGTGGCAAAGTCTTAAGGAGTGATTCATCAACAACTAATTTATTTTTGGAAGAAGCAGATTAACAAGCTCACTACAGAGACTTCAAAATTATCTTGGAATTGAGATTAAGTGGGAAAGTTAACACTTGGGTCTGGAAAGGCAATGGTAATCGTTTACCAAGTAGCAGGATCTTTCATTCAACAGTTGCTCTAGAGCATTTGCCGTCTGTTATCTTGACACTTTTTAGAAATTAGTGACAGATGAATAAGATTTGTGGATCCCTTCCTATTTAGTATTCTATAATGATTCTTTGATTTTTGTACCATCTTCTCTGAAATTGCTGCTTGTTTTTTCAAATAATTTGAGACCCTTTAGTTTCTTCCAACTCCTGACCAGTGTTTAGTTGTCCATATTGCACAGTGAGGGAGGAAAACTGTAATTCTTCTTGAGTAATTTGAAATACAGTGAGAAATTTATAAAAACAAGCCAATTTGAATTAGCGTGTTTTCACCTTTGAGATTTTACTGTAACCAGGTACTGTATTTGATGTTTTCAAGATAGCAAATGCTCAAACTGGTATCACGCATCCTAAGACTGCTCTAGTGTTCTCATTAGACATATATTTTAAAGTCATGTTGATTAAAATATGATGCATGTTTCAAGAGATATTAAAAATTTGAAAGAAAACTAATGATAAGATGGTTTGCTCTCTCAAGTTTTTAAATCACTGCCTTAAATCTTTAAATAGGGGGGTTCCGCAGACTATCTGGAAATAAACTGTTTTATGAAATTAAAAGCAAACGTAATACTATGTGCTATAAATATTATGTGCTATATACTCAGATGGACCACATGGAGATACTTTGTATAAGAGGAAGATGTTTCATGTGGCTGTACTAAAATTTTGAAGTAAGAGTTAAGAGTATTTAATAGCAGAAATAAAAGGTTAAAAGTAAAAGAGAACAAAAGGAATATGAAAGTCTTCATGGCCAATGCCGGTCTGTGGTTTAGACTGTAAAGTCAAAGAGCAGGTCCACTGACCATCTTTTATGTGATCTCAACTGATGTCTTTTATTCTCATTCTTTAGGAAGCAAGCAACACAGAGCTTGTGTTGCTCTGACTGTGAGTCAGAAGTGGTTTGCTTTTTTTTTTTTTT